AAAAAAAAAAACAAAAAAAAAACCACCAAACCAAACCAAAAAACCAAAAGAAACCTTGAGGAAGTTACCAAGACTTGATAATTAATAGCAGCCCACACCCGACATGGTAGAGCTAGTTTTTCAAAGTCAGAAAACAGAGGATGATCCTGAGATGTGTTTTTTTAGAAGGAGAAACAGGATGGGGAGGGCACCATATTTAGCCTTTGTTGTCTTGTTGCCACCTCCTACAGCCCCTGCTCACCTACGTCCATTCCTATTTCCCCTCAGTTCATGCTAATTTCATGCTAGCAATTCAACTTGTCCTTCTTTCAGCTCCTTTCCCCTTGCCCATCTTCCCTAGTTTTGATGTTCATTCAAACTATTCCCTCCTACCCAATGCTGTCAGCCTCACAGTCTTGTTCTTCAAAAACTTTTGTAACTCCCCACCCACGACCAACGTTTTTATCCTCCTGCCCCAGAGAAACTGCACCCTGGTCTTCCATCATTGTATGCGATGTATGTTGCTCTCAAACGTCTTCCTACGTTCTGCTCCAATGCACTTTGCTGTTTTTTATTCTAGATTTCTGAGGTGAAATGGTAATACATAACAGAGTATAACACCAGGCATGTGAAATGCCTCCTTACAGTCATTCTTCACTACTGTTCCTTTCACTTCCTTCTGCCCTTCTGCATTGTGTGCCCTAGAGCAACTATCATAATACTGCTACAATTTCCTCCTAAATTATTTTCTACAAACTGTTTCTCCTTTCTCCCCATTTCTGACTTTTTCACCAAGCCTAGATTTCTATTCTTTCCATCTACACTATTTCCGTGGCTGGTTTATGCATCTTTCTTTTACATCCTCCTTTCTTTTTCCACCTCCTCACTTTTGTTTTCTTAATCCTTCAGTTTCATGGGGGGAAGAAAAATGTTGACTGCACCATAGCCCTTTCATTACTTCCATCCTTATTTTCTCTGCTGTTCACATGCACTCTTTCAGTAATGCACATTGACATCCAACTAACATGTACTCTTCTGCTAACGCATATATACTTTTTTGCCAGATCTCTTTCCCAGATGGCCTCAAATCTAGTGGAAGGCTGTGCATTGTGGCACGATCAGCAAACATCTTACAAAGGACTAGTCTTAGCAGCATTTTCTGGAAAAGCACAAATTGTACAAGTAGCTCCTGGTTTCATGGAGGTTTGGTTTTGGGGGACATCCAAGACACTTGGCATAAAGGTATTGTTTGCTGAGAATTTGTGAGGATGGTGACTTGCCCCATGGCCTACCAGCTGAGTTGGAGTTTGTGGGGACAGGTAAACAGGATCACCCATGTCCACTTCTCCTCCTGCCCTTGGAAATTTGAGGCCAAAAGTGTCTACAAAAAAATAATCATATCTTGTAATTCTCTAGTACAAACTGTATTTAAACAAGGTATGTCTCTACCTTATTACTACATTGTGAGCGATAGATTAACTAATCATTGGACCAGAGGCCACCAATTGCCTAGGGTCTCATAATCGTGACCTGATTACATTCATTACACACAAATGGAGGACAGTCACAGCTGGTAATACGTAGCTGAAAGGCTAACTGATCAAGGACAAGAAAAATCAGCAAAATCAATCAGAAGGGCAAAAATATCACAAACAGTTCAACAAAAGTTACTGTGTCTTCTATAAGAGTTTAATTGATGGATAAAAGGTCATCTGCAGTCCCTTTGTGGTTCATTGGCCAGGTAAAGACAAGCATTAAACAGTAAAAAGGAAAACATAAGAAACAAGAAAAAGGAAGCAGTTGGTTATAATTAACATGAAATAGTAATTATATGGTATAGAAAATTATTTGCAAAAGTCGAAAACATTACAGAAAAATCCACATCTGGAATGGATGGAATTCAAATAATTTTACAGTAGGTGAGGCATTAAATATCTTTTAACAATGCTCAATCTCAGCAGACATAGTAACATCTTTAATTATGATGCAAAAGGTACTAATAGTGATACCTGTGTTCTGTAAGTGGAAACATAAATTCTGCATGCAGATCATGACCTACTCTTCTGCCTTTGGACAGCACCTAGCTCCAATAAATATTAAATCCTTAGCCCCAGATGCCTTGCACCCTAGCATCAGATAATACTTGGTACTTTATGTCACAGTGATGTTCAGTTTAATAAATCTTGGAATGTCATGGAAATTATAGGAATCTATTACCAGTGTTGTGCCAACATGAAAAAGGGGCAAACAGAATAACCCACATCATAATATTCCATTTTGCCTGACATCTGTCCCTTAAAAAATAGTGGAAAGGCTGACAGGATTAAACTCAGAGAACTAAGGATAAGAATAATGATTCTAACACAGCATTTGTTCATCTTTAATTCTTTTTTTTGCCTTTGTATTTAGGTTTCACTGTGGCTGTAGCAGGGGTACAAGTGCAGATCTACTGACAGCTCCACATACTGATGTCTGATTTGAAGAAAGCCACAACAGTGAAGAAATTGCCCACAGAGTGCCAACATTTAAACATTTCCAAATGGCAGTCACCTAGTCTCTTCTGGCTCACAAATAATGGGGACAAGTGGCCTAAACTAGCTGTGTTTAGTTTTTAAATCCTTGATTTCCCCGCTGTACAACCACATTCTTCTTAATTCTTTCAGTCTCAGATATCTGATCTCTTTCTGTCTCCGTGTGATTTTTATTGTTTCCCAAGCCTCTTTGAGGAAAGGCTTTGTGAAATTCACTCTAGAAATTCAGGACTTTTAAGATCAGAAAAGGTCATTAAATCTTCATATAAAAGGTGAAACTGGACAGAGAATGTAATCCAGTTTCACCTGTATTTATCCTGGCTGGCCATATTCTTCTGCAGTCTAATTTCCAGAGAGGTTTTCCATTCAGCTAAAATATTCTGTGATACACAGTCAACTACTTCCCTTAAAACCTAAGTCATCTATAACCCTTGCTGTTAAAAAGAACAACAACAAAAGCTGTACTTCACTTTAAACCAAAATTTGTTTGGCTTTAGCTTCTAGTTACTTTCTAAAATGTATTTCATGTCTCGCCATCACATTAAATTAGCGTACAGCTAATTTTATAAATGGGGGC